GATAAACATAAAAGGTTCCTTGTTGATCTTGATTTATATACTCTATCTATAGTCATTTGAGAACATAATACCCTACCAGGTCACATGACATACTGAGTCAAAGAATATTCTCTCTCTCCACACATTCTTATATGAGGTCAGTATATCAATACTACTGCAGGTCAAACAATTTGTAAGAAAAAATACATCGTATTAAACTCAAGGACAGAGATTTTTTTACAATAATTTTGACTTACAGATTTTTAAATTTGACAACAGCATCAGAATCTGTGTATTTCTGTACATATAGAAAGAGTTTATTGTTTAAACATCCTTACATATTTTATTTTATTCATTTTATGTCAATATCTTATAATTTTCAACACAATGTATGTATTTATGAATATACAATTTATGAAAAATAATTTTTCATAAAATATAGTCAATAAATATATATCTCAGTATAAATAAAAACAAATTTTAGTTGCTTTTTTGGCCACATTCCAGTATCATCTACTTCATAATCAATTAATTTAATTAGATTCACCTTCTGGTTTAAATGTTGAAGAATGCCTTTTTAAGAATCGAATCAGTAATTGAACCAATTGATGTGCTACTCTATTTCAGCTTTTAAGGTCTTTTTATCAAATTAGGTTATCTAATATCTTCTAAGTTTGCTTAAGTGGAAATTGGACTCTACAAACAAATAGCCAATACCTACCAAAAAAGTCTGTTGTCCTGTTCTGGCATTTCCATTCTAGATTTTATTTTTGTTTATTTTTGATTGCCCTAATGCAAATTTTAGTAAATATCCCTACTTTTATTAAATTAAGAGCAGGTGATTTATAAGACATAAATAGTATTAATATATAAAATTCCAAAATGAGGACATAAAATGCTCCCTTTTGATATATTTTTATATCAGCAGGCCTTTAATGTTAAAGTTTTAATACTTGGGATTTTCCCTCCTTTCTCTTTCATACCCTGAATTTAAGCTTATAAATGAATTTGTCATAAAGCAGCAATCGAGGTGGTTGAGTTTTATAGATCAGGTGTTACTTCCTTACCTTCTAATGCCATGTAGATATGGTCACTGTCTCTTTGGGATAATGGCTCTACCATGAAACTAGTTTCTGGTGTTTGCATACTCCGAGAAAGACCCTCAGTACCCATCACGCCTTAGTTTCCACCAGCTGGCTATAATGGAAAGACAAACAATACTTGCTTGCTGGACAAACATTTTGCACATAGACAGGGAGTCCGGCTTAGTGGATTCCCTCTCATTCAACCCAGTGGCTTGCCCCCAGGGTTCCTGACTCCATGGTGCTGAGTGGGGGATCTGATTGGACATTGAGGTGGGGGCTCAGGGACTCAGCTTGGAAATGGAGTGACTTCTCCCTTAATCTAGCAAGCTGCCTGATGAAGTCATCTCTTTCTTTGTCTGACTTTACCCAAAAATGACTTCTAGTTCTTAATGAAATAAAAGTAAATAAATACATAGGAGGTGGGTGAAGAACTATATGGGGGCAGAGGAATTAAAGATGATGATGATCCAGACAGAGATGATTCCATCTAGAGGGGGGCACCTATAAACAATGTAGCATGATCCTTCTTATAACAAGCCCCCTAAATCCTGCCTTTGTGCTTACTAACTATGGGTTCCTGGGCAAGTTGTGATGAGTAGTATTTATGTAAAGTGCCTGGCTTTATACCTGGAAGACAGAAGATGTACAATAGCTTGGACCTTTCCATGATAATAGCTAGGAATAACAACAATGTTGCATGTTTTTACAGTAGCTGAGAAAGAAATAACCAATGGGAGACAACTGAGTGAGTGTGTGTGTTTAAAGAAATGATGATCCATCCAGGTCTTAGTAGGTCCCCATCTCAAAGGTTGTTAGAAATATTCTTTGTCACTATATGCTTAGTATGTATCGTTTGCAAATGGTGGCAAATCTAAAAATGAGGGTAAGAAAACCTAGAGGAAAATTCCTAGGAACTTGTTTTGCATATATTTTAGAAAATATATTTGTTGATTGATTACCTAAATATTTAGAACAGGAAATGTTAAAAGGATAAAGAAACAAGTATAAAGGTAAGCTCAAGCTCAGAGTGGTCCTTATAATTGGGTTTTCATAATATATATAAACTGTTACTTGAAGTGACAGAAATGATAGAAATGGTGTTGGGAATCAGGAAACCTGTGTCCTGCAGTGAATTTCAGTTTTGTAAAGGATGATCAGAAACACAAAACCAAGATCCAGCCCCACGACTTACTTCTTGGCACGAGTGCCCTACTCCACTTACTCCAAACACTCCTATTCACTTTTGGCAATTTTGGCTTTTCCTGGTTCTCAATAAAGCCAGGAAGCAGTCAGTCACTTATTCCCCTGTGTATCCACCCACCTTGACTTGCAAGGTTTCTAACTACCTTCCCATACCTTACCTCCCACTTAAAACATTCCCTGTATTCTTCCCTGCTATGTTTTGCTCTCAGCAAACTTTCAATTAATCGCCATTGAGGTGTTAACTGACAGCCAAGGTGTTAGTTAACTGAAGTGTGGATTCTCTCAGGATTATTTAAATTTTGAAAGCAGTTTCTTTGAAGACCCAAACTTTCAGTTATATAAAGAAGCAGAGAGGAGACTTCCCTGTGATTAATAACAACACATCATTACACTTAGTAGACTATACACTCAGGACTAGCATGCCCAGAAGCTTAGCCTTTACAAGGGCAGTGGCTTTGGAGGAGGGGCGGGGTGTGAGGGGCTCTGCCTGCAAGTAGAAGCAGGACGAGAACTGGTCCAGATCAGACAGCACAAATACACTGGAGAAAGGTTCACTTTGCATTTTCTGACTCAGAGTATCTCAAGCTTGCAGTTTGTTGGTAAATCTTGCTCTATAGTCTGTACTGTTGGAAACACTATTTAGAGGCTTTTTTTCCCAAGGCAAGTTGTTACTTTGTTCTTCAACAAGCAGTAGTCCCTGTGGTGCTGCATTTAGAAAGTTGCAGTGAGTGTTAAATGTGAATAGATTCTGTGAATATGTCAGGTTGCACAAGAAAATACATGCATTCTAGGATAAAGGAAGTATAAAGATAAATGGATGCTTACATAAATATAAGGGTGGTCCTGTAAGCTTTAGGTGGCAATTAGCATATTAAAATATAGAATGGATATTAAACAAGGAGGATCACCCCCCCTCAAATATTTTGTATCTTTTTTTAAGGTAGGTTACAAGGTCAGAAGGTCATGTAATTGAACAATTAGTGACTTCTGTGCATCAGGTGTGTTCTAAGGCATAAAATCTGACCTTTCATTTGATGTTTAAATAAAAGGAATGAGGTTTATAAGCAAATTCATATCTCCTTACTGAACTGAAAGGAAATCCCTCCTTCAAAGTTTGAGGAGAGGATAGGGTCCTAGGGGGCTCTGGAGGATGGGCTGCCTAATGATTATGTGCCCTAAGCAAGATAAAGAAATGCTACTGTACATGACATGGCCATTACAAGGAGGCCAAAATAAATTTCTGTGGGGAATTAGTACACAGCAGTGATTTAAAGTTATCTGACAATGTTTACATCAATCAGGGTTTCTATGAATTGCATCTGTAGATTGCCCCTCCCCACACAGACACTGCTGTGCATCAGGTTGGACATGAGGGCAACTGATGAAAATATTTTTGTGAAGTTAGAGTCATCTTTTCCCTTCATTGGACATATTATGCATTCATTTTCAAATCCTACATTAAAAGTTAAAAGTTTCATCATTATGTTTGATTCCTATTTTAATAGTTTGAAAATGTCACGTAAGAGTTACAGAAGGCTGCAAAGGAAATATGAGAAGGTTCTGCTGCTCTTCCAATGGCTGCTATACTTTAGGAAGCCACATGAAATTTTCCAAGGCCATAGCTTTGGGAGGTGTAGTTTTGCATGGACTAAGCTCTAGGTATTCCAAGAGAGATACATATTGGAATTTTTAGCCTCCACAGATCTCTTGACACCTAATAGTCATTTCACCTAAATCCTCTAAGTCTGTGGAGGAAACTCTCCAGATTCGATTCATAGGACACTAATTACTGTTTTTCTTCAATTTATTTAGAATATGCGGAAAACCTGAGGAGTACCAAGTATTTCGTGATAAATGGAGGTTTGGAACTCAAAATTAGAAGTTAGGTCTTCAAAAATCCATTTTGCAGTATGGAGACATAGGTCTGGCTTACTGGCTTTTAAAGTTTTTGATTCAGGTCTAGAACGTAAAATATAATGGCTGGAATAGTGGAAAATAATCTCGCCCGGTATATGGGAAATTTAGATGTACTCAAACGCCCTACCTGGCAATAATTCTCTTTAAAGAAAAAAGAAAGGAAAAAAGAGAGAGAGAGAGAGAGAGAGAAAGAACAAAAAACTTGCAGCCTTTCACCTGAAAGTTTGCACTCTGTAATAACCCAGAAGTTCAGGCCCGCACACTTTACACGTCTGAAACGAAGCACACCACGAAGCACACCTCCCTGGAGCCTGGCGACCGCTTCGCCTTAGGGCGGAGCTCAGGACAAGAGCTTTATCAACAGACAAAGTCCAGAGGATTCTTGACTTGGTGATGCATAAAGTTTTCTTCCCGATCCTACCCCCCACGTCTGCCTGGCCAGCTCCGAAATTGCAGCGCAGAGGCAACTGCGAGAAATACAGCACGCCTTGTGTGCCTCGTGTTAAATAAATCCAGGAGCAGAGAATGATCAGGCAGCTCCAGACCGGGAGAGGCTCTTCTGGAGGCGAGAGGTTAGAAAGCAGATAAGGCTTCCTAGCGCGCAGCTCACCGTCCTCCGCCGCCCGCCCAGCGTCGCCTCGGGAGTCTCTGCAGCTCGGATCCACGGAGGAAGGTGGGACAGGAGGAGGTGCAAGATGGAAAAGACGCTGGGGAGGGAGGGGTGAGCCGAGGGGAGCTGGCGAGAGCGCCGCGCGGGGGGAGGCGGCGCAGGGGGGAGCGCGCCGGGCGCTGGAGCTGAGTGGACCGCTCGAGACCGCGGCGCGAGCAGCAGCTCCTGAGAGCCGCGAGTTGGCAGAACCGGCTGCATTTCCAGCAGGCGCTGCGCGCACCGTGCGGGCTCCCAAGGTGATGTGCCCGCAGCAAGCATCCTTGCGCCCGCCCGGGCGGCTGGACCGCGGCTGGCTTGCTCGCGCCCACCTCTCCTCCCCTGGGTCTGCGGGTCTGCGTGTCTGCGCGCCCGGGTTTGGGGGCCAAGCCTGCGGGGAAGGAAGGGGCACCGTGGTCCCTGCTTGTCTCCTCCCCCCTCTACCCTCGTCGTTGCGAATGCCTGTCTTGCAGGGGCTCCCCGGGCTTCGCACCCCGTCTTTGACACTGCGCCCTCCGCCCCCCGCTTGTGTCTCCTTTCGCAGATGCTCAAGGTGTCAGCCGTGCTGTGTGTGTGCGCGGCCGCTTGGTGCAGTCAGGCTCTCGCAGCTGCCGCGGCCGGGGCTGCGGCCGGGGGGCGGTCGGACGGCGGCAATTTTCTGGATGATCAGCAATGGCTCACCACCATCTCGCAGTACGACAAGGAAGCCGGACAGTGGAACAAATTCCGAGACGTAAGTGCTGCGCACCCCGGGGCGCGGGCTCAGGGGCGCGCTGCCGCGAGGCGGGGCCCGCGGGCGGGTGGGCACCCGGGGGCCGGGGCTGCCCCGACTCGCGGCGGCGCGCGGCGCCCCGAGAAGTTGGCACTTCCGACGCCCCCCTCGCGGCTGGTGCGCGGGGAAGGGCTGGCGTGCACGGGGCACGGGAGTTCAGGTGTCGCCAGGTTCCCACCCTACCTGCACCGGGCCGCTGTCCCTACTCCACCTTCCCCCCGCCCCCGGCCCCCAAGGTGTGCAAAGTGCTGGCTCTACCTGCTCAACTTTTGAATGGTGTTTCTGGCTCTAGTAAACACAGCCGCCGTGCCTGTGGGGTGCATTGCTACGGAAGTAACTAGCATCGATCCCGTTCCTAATGGTCCATTAAGGAATTTGAGGGAGCAGATAGGGAGATGTAAGATTTATAAATGCCCGCTCTCCAAGGGTGGGGGGTTGTTGGGCGCACCAGAAGGCAGAAGTTAACTGCTCCCCATGACATGAAATTGCCGATCACGGTCGGTGCTTCTGCATTAACTTTAGTACAGGGTGTGTTTACAATGCATTCGGTTACGATTTATTGCAAAATGAATAAAATCTGCAGGGGGAGGGGTGGAAGGGTTAAACTGTAGATTCCTTTGGGGACTTTTCCTAAAGGGGCTTGAAAACAGGAGCCTGGTGCAGAGACGGCCCATCCGTCTGTGTGCCTTGGAGCCGGTGGCCTTCACCTGCAGGTCGCTTTCCCCACCTGATCTGAGTGGAGCTCAGCAAACGCTGCCCGCGTGCGGAGCGCAGTTCACGTCGCGTGCAACGCGCTGGCCCGGGAGTAGAGGTCGTGCTGGCAGTAGATGGCCGCCCCCCAGCACACCCTTTAAAAGCCAGGAGGCCTGAAAGGCAGCGCGAGTGATTCAGACACAGTGCCACCCCTTCCTGTGACATTTGAGAGAATTTTTTGAGGAGTCCATCTGCAGTGCACTACGTGGGGATGAGTTGAACTTCTTTCATCATCTCACGCTGTGTCATGATTTGGGAAAATAAATGTCAGGAGCTTAGGTTAGTTTTTACATCCTGGTTCCTTTATCTCCCCACCCCCCACCTACACACACACACACACACACACACACACGCACATACATACACACCCTTCCCATGAAGTAACTGACAAGTCAGAAAGTCATAGCTAACACACGTAGCTGATTCTAGCAGAGGAATTCCTGAACACATGCTCATTTTACTTCAAAATTAAATGTAGCTAATTGATGGTAAGCATGGAAACTTGGGATGAAAAATGATAATGGCAATATTTAATGGGGGACTTCATTTTACATGTTTTAAGAAAGCTGAAACGTTTACATTGCTAAATGAACGCCTTGTAAAAGAACCCTCTTTGCACATTTGTTTCCAAGTTCATGCTAATCTTGAATATAATGACATAGGCAAGCAAGCAAATGAGATAAGTCTAAAGGTGGAGAATTTGTTTGTCATGGCCTCATTTAGGGAAAAAAATGTGAAAATTCTGCCAGTATTTGAGCAAATGTCTCAAGTTAGGACAATTCATTCCTCAATGGATGCTTTACATTTTTAAGAATGAATTTTAAATTCACCTCTGTTCAATTCTATCCTTCGCCATAAAAAAGTTTTTGTCACAGTTTACCTACTCCATTCCCCCCTCTTCTGATAATCAGTTTGTCTTAATAGTCTGAAAGTTTTTCTTTGTTGTTTAGTTATCTGTTTGTTTCCTCTTTATACCACATATAAGTGAAATCATACAGTTGCAGCCACATATTGATTTTCAATAATACGCACCTGAAACTTACATAATATTATAATGCATTATTACTTCAATAAAAGTTAAAAAATAAAAATGAATTTAGGTTTTCTTCTCTAAAGCACATATTAAATCTTGAATATCTTAGTATTCAGTGACTTTGTTCAAATTACTGTATTGAGTTATAGCACTGAGTCTATACTTGGACAGTTTGTGAATGTGTTTGCTTTAGTGAGGCTGAATTGTCCTTAAGAATGAAATACTGTAGGATTCATGCAGTCAACTTTTATATAGACAGTGTAGTGTTTTATTGCTATTGTATTTTTAGCTATTCCTATATGATGGGGGAGTGAGAAATCCATTAAAATTTTGTATTACATTATATAAATGATTTTCTGAGATTTTCTAACAAATATTTGTTTGGAAGTACATGCAATACATAAAACTATAATGGTTTACTTGAAAATCTTGTATCAGGCTTTTTTTTAGATTTACTACTTTAGTAAGACAATTAATTTTTTGTAAAGATGACTTCTGGAGGGCATAGAGAAGGTAAGTGCTATCTTTTTCTCCTTTAACCACCTGTTGCTTATTAACATGATAAAATTATGCTGATAGCATGGGGTTTCCACTCAGAATGCATAATATGGAAGCCTTATTTAAACCATTCCATTGGTAATTTTCCTTCCCTTTGGGGGAATCATTAGCTTTAATTTTTTTTCTGTATCTTTCAGGAAGTTGTTTATTTTTTAGTTCATTTTTCAGCTGGAAGCACATGGTGATGAAGCATTGCTTGAAAAAAGTCTGCACAGCATAAATCTATCTTTAAGTGCTCTGCATTTGCATTGATATCTTAAATAATGGATTTGCATGCTTAGTTTATAGAAGGGAAAGAACAAAGGCATTTGAACTTTTAAAAATTAAAGTTCTTCTGATTAATTCTTTTATCCCATAAAAATATAATGAATATTTTTATTTAGAAATAATGATTTGACGTGCTTCAGCATAATTCACACTGAAATTAATTGTTACTTCTTGTGAGTGCTTTGCTCAATGACATCATTTTATAAGTCAGTCCTTAGTGAAAACTTGAACTATATCTCCTTTTGAGTTATATTTGAAAGCTAGTTTAGATGCTATTTAAAAATAAAATTTATCGTTATATTTTTATTAAGTAATTTAAGAAATAAATATTACTCTTTATATATCATATATTTGTATATATAACAAAGCCTTAGGATTAAGGAACATCGATAGGAAATAAGGAGTAGAAGAGCATAGGAAACTACCAATGATGATTCATTTTCTCGGATTCTTCACTATGCATCATATAATAAAAATAATAAAACCAAAGGAAGGTTTACAGTGACTATCAACACAGGAGAAACTTTGAGTAACTTTGACTACCCAGAACCTACAGCCCTCTCTGGATAAAGTTTTGTTGCTCTTAAAAGTGTACAAAATGACATTACATAGGCATAGAAAACTTTCATACTTTAGAAAGGAAGTATATATACTATATCATTTAGAAAATGATAATATTTTTATCAGTGTAAGCATTCCAGTAGAGAATCTAATATCATAGGATATGTTTAGTAGAGTCATTGTTTGCATGGTATTTGCCACTTTTTTGTCTCTTTTGAGTAGTCATAAGAAAAAGACACAGAATTTCTCAGTGGGGGATTGTGGGAATACCACTAACATCACCAAGAACAGTGGTAAAGGAAACTCACCCCATTCTCACACAGATAAATATATGTCCTGGCCTATTAGGAGAACTGGACATGAGGATCATTATAAGGAAACTGAGTCATTAGTTTATGAATCAAGTGGTTCTCATATTCCATATTTCAAACATTTATGTGTTATAAATCAATTAAATCATGCCCTTATCATGTAATAAATGAGTATGGAATTGGGAAGCTGATCAATCTATTGGTAATGCATGATATTGTATCGCTATCGATTTCATCTGCTATTGATTTCGCTGAAGTATGTATAGTACTTAAAAATGACAGAAAAGATAAAAAATGAGAAGCTGTAAATGCTGTATGTTGTAAGCAATATAATAAAAATATTGCATAGGTACCACTGATGCCATGCTAATTTTAAATAACATATAACAGAATCAGAATTTTACCCTTAGTTTGAAATTCAGAAAGTTATAGATTAGTTTTTCTTTTTCAATGAAAATGCTTCAGGGTAGGAGCTAATGGAGTGGATGAAGAAATGGAGCATAGAGGATTTTAGGGCAGTGAAAATAATTTGTATTTGTATAAGGCAGATATACCCAATATACCCACAAGCCCACCATCATACCCAGAAGCCTATCATCTCAAAACAAACAATAAAAAAACCTAGTTTTTTTAAATATTGCTTGAAGAAATAGTTACCATTTGTGTTGCAAATTCATAATCAACTTCAGTTAACATTTATTCCTTACATGATTTTTCATATCCATTATACATAGTGAAAGCCATAGTATAGTTGAACAATTTAATTAAAAAAAATCAACTTCATTCTAAGTCAAAGTACATATACAACTTGAAAATATAAATGCAAGGTGCCTCAGAGGCACTCAAATATTAAGTCAACTTTTAAAAAACTGCCAGATTAGAATATATTGACTAGTACATAAATTTTTCTAAGATTCTTTTTTCTTTTATTTCCCCTTTTCACCTGAGCTGAGGTTCTACAATGTACAGATTACTTAAGAGATAATGACTAATGGGGCTGGTTACTTCCTGGTACTTACAAAGCTTTTGTGAAGCCCCCCCCCCCCCCCCCCCCCCGCGCCCCCCCCCAGAGTTTATCAACTTTATTGTTACTAGGAAGTAAATAAAACAATTGAATTCTGTGTCTCTTCCAAGTAGAGTATTCTATTGTTTTAAAAGGCATTAAAATTCAGGGCCTCCCCTGGTAGCGCAGTGGTTGAGAGCTGGGTTGTGAGGCTGCCTGCAGCCTCTGCAGAGCTGGTTCGATCCCCGGCCGCTGGGCAAGGGTCCCACATGCCCCGCAGACCTCTCCTGCCTGCGCCCGCTGCTCCCCTCAGCGGTGTATTTCGTCAGTCTGTTCTGTTCCCAGCTCTGGCTCTGGTGAATTCTCCCGCACTTCTGACTGTACCCAGTGCTTGTATAAATTAATTAATTTTTAAAAAAGGTGTTAAAATTCAAATAGTGAAAATCTTTAAAGAAAACCCTCAGTGCTTTCTTTA